AGAAATTACAAGTATCATCAACAACGTCGCTGAATTTCCTACGTTGTTTCTTCTTTCTAATTTAACATTCCACGCACTGAAAAAAATAATATGCTGTTTTAGCACCTAGGATGTCAAAAACGTGTCTGGTGATCCCAATATGCTGTCTTTATTGCCCTCGCAGTTAACTTTACATCCTATGAATGTAAATTCAACTGCGTGGGCAATCAAGGCAGCATCTTAGGATCATCAGACACATTTTTGACATCCTAGGTGCTAAAACAGCATAGCATTTTTTCAGTGCAGATTAAATTTCTCCGTAATTTGCTGGCAGTTCGAAGGAAAAGTCGTGAAATTTTTTAAAATGATCTGTGCTCACTCGTTTTTCTTGGGAAAAATAATTTTGTCGGTCCGAGAACTTGAGATTCTAAAGATCTTGGGATCTTCGTTGCTTGCAATTTGGAGACAAATTTGGACCGCAACGAAAGTGTCTCATTGACCGCTGCAACCATGGAAATTATTATGCTTTACCCCCGAATCAGATTGAATTCTTCAGATTTTCCAGAGTTTTGGGAGGAGAAGTGTGGTAACCAAGTGAAATTACGAGACAATTTGAGCTAGAATGAGAATTTTCATGGGTCCAGATCGCATGCATCTTACCTGAAAAGAAGTCTCATCACAGGAAAAGGTACAATAATGCGGCATGGCCGCGGTGTAGCAATTGCGTTTTCGCCTCTCTTACGGCGAAGATATATCTTAGTCTAAATATCTGGAGGGACAACCATTAATACCAAATAAAATAACGTAAACATGTGTGTTTAAGTCTGTGTTATGAGGGATTTAGATAGATGGCATCATGCTCAAAAATATACGGGGATCGGCCTAAAAGCACGATTTTCCACGGCATCGTCGCGTTTAAACAGCTCGGACGCGTATGCGTCCATTAATAATTAACTTTTTTTTTCCCCCAAAAATATCTACCTTCCTCGTTTCGGCTATGTTTAAACTTCTTAAGGAGTTAGACGATATCAAATTGAAAAATTTGAAAGTGAGGACCATTTTGATAATCAGCACCATTTAAATTAGTCAAAACGGTCGAAAATGTCACGCTTTTCAAGGAATAAATTTGATGAAAAAAAGCTTCATGGCCATCTGTGAACAATTTAAGTCGTCGAAGTATATACCGAGGTACAAGAAATTATTGAATAAAAGGTCTAAAATTAACTTTGAGACGAACATATATGCTTAAACTGCGAAAAGACACGATTTTTGACCAATATTTGAGCCATTTGGCAACATGTGCCGATGGGCGACCCAAAAGCTCTCTCGATTTCTTTTCGTGATAAACTTTCATTTTAGTTCAAAACGCAACTTCTCTACCCTAACGCGAAGCTGAAAAAATAGTCGTCGGAAAATTTTGAAGGGGCCTGGGGCGGCCAGCCAGCGCGGAGCGGCCGGAGCGCGCATTGGCGCCTGCAAACCTACAGGGATACTTCAAGCATTGCGCAATGCGTAAAGTATCCCCTTAGGTCTGTAGGCGCTAGCGCGCGTTGCGCGCCGGCAGCACACCGCGCCGCCTCTCCATGCTATCTTCCCCACATTAAACTTAGTTTCGAAAGTCAACGTTCAGATTCGCCCAATGATGACCGATGATCAAAAAGTTGAGTTGTAGGTATCCTAACTAAACTTGCAACAATTCCCCTGTCAAAGTGCTCAGCCCAACTCTTATCATTATTTTATTTTTTGGCGATTTTTTTGCTCAACACATTGCTCATATCCATAATCATTAAAAAGTAGCGATGACGTCCCAACTTAATTTTTACGCCACCTGATTATTTTTCTTAAATAGTGCCGGGTCTAAAATATAGTGTATCCGGCTTCGATTCTTTTCTTTGGGCACCTCATAACTAATTCGTCACCTCCCGGACGAAGAAACGGAACTCTTTTCCAAGGTTGCCAAATTGATTCAGACTTGTAATTTATTTTACAAAAATGTGTCTGTGCAATAGTTATCCAAAAATTTTCTTATTTTTGCATGACACCTGAAGTATAATCCTTACCATTTTTGGTTGGAAATGCCAAAGATTCATCCCGTTACGATGCAGTTTGTGAGGGGAAATTTGGCAACATTTAAATGGAGTTACGTTCTTTCGCGAGGGTACCGACTACTTGTTACTAAAATCAAAATATGTTTAACGCCGAAAACGGAGGACACTTCCTTTTCGCGTAACGCAGTCCAATTGGACGTATTTCTATCAAACGGAACTATGTGCATTGTGACATGAGCCCTGTAATGCATACATTCTTATGGGTCTTAAGGCTCATGTGTTATTGCACATAGTTCCGTTTGATAGAAATACGTCCAATTATGGGCCAAACACAACTTCTACCCGGTGCTAGGAGTCAAAACACCCAAACAACGTATCTCTAACGAACCATCTAATGCAGATCCGTCGTTTTGGCTCGAGTAGCGTGGCGCATTTCGCATTCGGGTTCGTTATTCGGTTTCCGATGTGATCGAGGAGTCCCGAATCCGGAGCCGACGAACGCGTGGTTTCGTGTTCGAACGCGAGTCTAGCTAATGCCCCCTCTTTTATCTTTTTAGCTCCTTTGTGCTTCCCCCCCCCCCCCCCNAGCCACCCTTCCCCCACGGCTCGGAGCCATCGCGACCATTTTTCACATCCGCCCGGATCGTGTCGTGCCTTCCCGACTCCACATGCCGGCTCCCGGCGCACAGTGGCTAGAGTCAATAGGAGGGGTCGGACAATATTTGAAAACTTTAAACGCTTATAACTCCGTTTATACACACACTGAAAAAAAATTCTCGGCGTTTTCACCAAGGTCCATTGGTACCTTTACCATCTCACTTTTTTACCAATTATTGGTAATTTTACCAAGACAGACTGGTATGCTTACCTAAAAACCGGTATTTTTACTGTTTTTTTTCCGGTAAGAATACCACTTTTATTGGTAATCAATTCTCGGTAACTTTGCCATTTTATCTCGATAATTCTACCACAGTCGATAAAAAATATTGGCGTTTTTACCAAGGTCCAGTAGAATTACCGAGAAAGTTCAATAGTTTTACCGAGATTTCTCGGTAAAATTACCAATTCAATAAATCGTAATTTTACCAAGAAAAAACTGGGATTAAATAGAACCCTGAATTCTTGGTAATTTTACCATTTTCTTAGTAAATGCACCGATATTTTTTTTTCAGTGCAATGGACCACTACACAAGGTAAGAATTATTGAGCAATCTGATACATGTTTCTTAACCGAAATTTCAAGTCGAGTACGATTCGCACAACGAAAATTACTGAAACCAACTCCTAACGAAGATATTAACGTTTTTATTTCGCATTGGTTACGAGGAATTTGAACTGCCCGCTCACAAGAAACTCGGAGCTCTACGTGAGTCAAAGCGCGCACTACAACGGTTTCAGCAAGCTTCTCAATCGAGCAATGTTCATTTCCCACCATGTGTTTTTCAAACTATAAGTAATTTGCTACAGCTCAGCCAAAGCGTCAAGATTGAGGTTGCCAGATTTTTATATCGCAGAGACTGTCATGATAACCTTTAGCGCGCGATGCGCGATGTGAATCACGTAGAGCATTGAGTTTTCATGAGCGGGTGGTTTGAATTCACGCATCAGGAATCGTTAATTATCTTCGTAAGGAGTTGATTTCGGCAATTTTGATTGTGCGCATCGTGTTGTACGTAAAATTTTAGTTACGAAACATAAATCAGAATGCTGAAATTCGTACCTTGTCTAGTGGTCCATTTTGGGGGTCTATAAAAGTGGCTCTATTGGTTTCCTCGTAAAATTTTCTTCTTTGAGCACCTCTTGAAATTTGAAATGTGACGGGATGAACATCAAAATTTGCAGTTGTAGTCAAAAATATCATGTCCGACCTCTCTTTCTGACTCGATCCATACTGTGCGGCAGCTGTCACGTCGAGGCGGGTGTCCCTTTGGATTTTGAGAGCTGGAATCAGCCATTGGGAATGTTTGGACGTGAATTTTAGACTAAAATTGTAAATTTTGATGTTTATTTCGTCACGATGGGTCACTAAACTATGATCGAATTTTGACTTGTGAATATATTTTTCTGGAGGTAATTGACACATAGAACACGATGCGCACATCGTCATCCTCCGGCCGAGGTATCACAAGCGCCATGCGACGTTTCAAAATTTCCGCCGCCTTTTGTTTCTTTTTTCACAGAAAAATGGAGATGTTGCATGTGTGAGGGATTTGCGATTTGATCATTGATTCTTATGTAAAAGTTCACGAGAAACACGATGGTGCCACTGGTTTTCTCTGAAATCATCTCTCAAGCTCAAAAAAAGCTCTCAAGTTGAGACCACAATGGAGGAGATATCCCACGCCATCCTGAGAGTCCACCTCTACATCAAGACAAACTTTCCATGCACAGATAGGGAGCAAATACATTGGCAGGGCTGCCAGTTTATTTGGGGACTCTAAAACTGAAAACACGACATCACTGTCAATGTATTTGCTCCCTATCTTTGCATGGAGAGTTTGTTTTGATGTAGAGGTGGACTCTCAGGGTAGGGTGGGATATCCTCTCCATTTTGGCCTCACTTTGAGAGCTTTTTTTGAGCTTGGGAGATAATTGTAGAGAAAACCAGTGGCACCATCGTGTTTCTCGCGAACTCTTACTTAAGAATCAATGGTCAAATCGCAAATCCCTCACATGCAACATCTCCATTGTTGGTTGAATGTGTTTGAAAATTTCACCGAATTTCATCGGCAGCGCAAGGAAAATTCAGTGAAATTCTCAGGCAGCTTCGTTGAACAATTTCTATGTAAGAAAATGAAATGTCGGCGGAATTTTTTAAACGTCGCATGGCGCTTGTGATACTGTGGCCGGAAGGTGACGACATGCATAACACGAAAAAGTAACTCAGGACCCGAGAAATCACAAGCTTTGCTCGGAATCAACTGCAATTCATGCATCTTCTCATGTTTAATAATCGAAATCTTTTGATTGCAGGTTGCCCTGGTGGTAATGGTTTCAACGCTATGAGACTATTTGGTGAGTTAAACACTTCATTGCAAATACCAATACTGATACCGTTTGAACTCATAAGGCGAAACTGAGATTAAACTGATTCACTTCTTAATCGATTATTTTTCGGCATTCTATCTGTATGCTAACATTAAAACACGATTTGAAATGGACCTGTTGCAAACTTATTCACCTGGAGCAAAAAGGAAAGTTATTTTTTTATTGAAAATGGCTCTAAAATCACGATGAGTGCATTGAGAAAGTCTGAAACACACTCACCTAACTACAAAATTTGCGCAAAAAATATGCGTTTTTTTAAGCCTCCGCGCTTTAAAAACGATACTTCGACACAGGTGAACAATTTGTAAGAGGAGTCGTTTCATCGAGCCCTTGCGCTCTTGGGTGTTACAATTGGACGTATTTATGATGAAAGGAACTATGTTCCACGCAAACCCTATGCACATAGTTCCTTTCATCATAAATAAGTCCAATTTTTACACAAATATTCAACTTACAATACGGCTCACGCTTCCGCGCGCAAATCGTGAGGAAGCACCATGAGCGTGTTTATCAACGCAAGGGAAATGAAAATAAAAACACATCGGTTGGTTTCACATTTTATCAAAAGAACTTTGGCAACGCCTGAAGGTTTATACGGCGTTTTGCCTTACCACGGCAGTATTGTCTAATGCAGCGATACATCGCGTAGTACATATTTAAACTGATGGGTGCATTCAGTTTCGATCCGTCTCAATCCGTTAAAAAAAAAAAAAAAAAAAAAAAAAAAAAAAAAAAAAAAAAAAAAAAAAAAAAAAAACTGTCGAGGATACGATAATACATTGCTGTAGGAAAACGTTGCATGTGCATTCAGACGTTGCCGAATGTCCTTTAATTATAAATAGATTTTATATGAAACGAGTGAGTATTTTCCTCTGAAATGTTTCAAGGGATTTTCACGCCAAATCAATAGGAAAAAAGCATTCGAGGAGTCGAAAGTGAGCGAAACCAAGAAGTAAGTCAAACAAATTTAATAAGTCGATTCCAAAGCAACTTTTATTGCAGCGTCATAAGTCGGTCAATTTCTAGAATGAAGCTGAAAAGGCTGATATGATATTACGCTTTTGAAAGAAATGGAAACTCCCTTGAGAATCTTCAGGTATTCTTTCCGTCCTCCAGGAATGAAGAGTAAAATACATTGCTTTGATAGAAATGCGCCTGGAAAGACTCAGCCTGCCCCTCCGGAATGACAATTGTGTCCAATTTTTGCTGGCTTGAGAAATGAGAGACTGAACAGACGATGAAACAAGGCCTCTCCTCTGCATGTCATCCCAGCCGAGGGCGCTTTCCTCCGCCGCGTCGCACAGTGGATCGAGTCAATTAGAGAGGTCGGACATGAAATATTTGACTAAAACTGCAAATTTTGATGTTAATTTTGTTATATTTTACATTTCAAGGGATGATTGTAGTAGAAAATTCCACAAGGAAACCGATGGAACCACTTTCAGAACCTCAAAATTTGTNTGAAATTTTTGAGTTGCCCCCCGCCCCCCCTCCCCCTGGGGGGGGTGAAGAACTGAAAAGTACCTCAAAAAGTTTCCCCCTCGATATGAGGAAGGACGCCACAAACCGCAAATCGATATCATAATTAGAACTAAAGTTATGGCCAGTGGTGCGTAACTTTTGAATAACCCTGTATTTTACATTTCAAGGGATGATTGTAGTAGAAAATTCCACAAGGAAACCGATGGAACCACTTTCAGAACCTCAAAATTTGTATAAACGGAGTTAAAAGCGTTTAAGGTTTCTAAATTTTGTCCGACCTCTCCTATTGACTCGATCCACCGTGCATCGCTTCAAAAGCGTCTGTTTTCTCTCATATCGTCGCCTCTCTAACGTAAGGGCGTATCTCAATTTCTTAAAGAGCCCCGTTTTATACAGGGTGTCCGAGGATTAAGTACGAATATTGAATTTTCCAAAGCACGATATCCGTTTAATATTGAACACAGACAGTTGCTGTTTGAATAGATCTTATTATTTTTAGCTGATCTGCTAGAATATAGCATCAAAAAACAATTCTGTGACCAGCGCAACTAATCCACTGAAAGCAACAGAACAAGTGCTCGTCTGCGAGCTTTCAAACCCTGAATGTTTGATACGACTATTTGAACACGTGAGAACTCACTTTGCCTACCTTGTCAATTGAAGGCAAACCGGCTTTGCGGTCGTCGTCCGAGGGTGCAATATAATTTCTTATCGGGTATTCTGGTCCGTTTGTGTGGTCAACCAGTGTGAATCCGTGTATTTTGAAATCATGAAATTTTTGATACGACTATTTTAACAAATAGGAGCGCACATCGCATACATAGTTAATAGAAGAGGAATCAGTGCAGTGGTCGTCCTCAGAGGAGTCGTGAATGTTTGATACGACTATTTTGACACTTAGGAGCGCATATTGTATACATAGTTAATTGAAGGCGAACCAGTGCAGTGGTCGTCCTCTAGGAGTCGTGAATGTTTGATACGACTATTTTAACACTTAGGAGCGAATATCGCATACATAGTAAATTGAAGGCGAACCAGTGCAGTGGTCGTCCTCTGAAGGTGCTCAATGTTTGATACGACTATTTGAACAAGTGCGGTCGTCCTCCGAAGGTGCAATATAATTTCTTATCGGGGATTCTGGTCAGTTTGGCTTTTGCCCAGTCCGTTCGGCCCACCCGGCAACAGAGACCAAACACAGCTTATCCAAAGTGTAAAGCGACAGCATTAGAAATGCCCCCCAGCGGCGAAGGCGAGGGGGGGGGGGGGGGGGGTTCCGGCCGTCGACAAACGGGAAACGGCACGGCCGAAATAAAAGCTGGCGCAGTCGGGGGAAAAAATGAGGGGCGGATAATGGAGAGATATGAAAAAGAGCGAGAACACAATACTAACGTGCTGAGGAAAAATGCCGTATGAACCCTCAGGCGTTGCCAAATATCCTTTGATAAATCACTAATATCCTCGTAAACATATAAATATTTTTCTTCCAATTTTTCATATAATTTTGTTCTCAATTTCACCTAAAGTTCCTAAAAATTTCGAGAAAAAATATTCATTACTTACCACGAAACTAAACATTTTATCGAAGGAAATTTGGCAACTCTCGAATGTTCATACGGCGTTTTTCCTTAGCACGGCAGGATAAAGGGGCCCGCGTCGAGGGGGGATAAAGAAAGGGCGGATTATTAGATCCGGCGGTGACTTCTCCGTGTCCAACCCTGATCAAACGCCAGCCGGAGCGTGTAGTGCCTTGCGATTTATCGATCGAACCCGTTTGAACCCACGTAAAACGATCGATTAACAGCGAGTATTTTCATAATCGATATTTTACCGCGGTTTCGAATTGGGAAGTTTCGATCTTCGATGATTCGCGCCTCGTCCGCTGGGAAAGGGATGACCGGGGGCCGGCCACGCTGGATTTCCGGAACAACGTAAGTGTCAAGAGTAGTGCGTGTGGGATGTGCGGTTTCGGCTTAGCGCTGATCCCGCCTTGTCAGGAGTTCCTTCATTCCGCTTGTTATTTCATAACGAAAGTCCGCGGGAAATTAAAATCCGGTTACTCGCCCCCGAGACACTTCCACTTCCGCAACACCGTTGCCTCAGTTCACGCATGCACTGCCGGGCTAAGGAAGAACGCCGCATGAACATTCGAGAGTCGCCAAATTTCTTCTTTGAATATATTTATTTTTGGAAAAAAAAGATGAATATTTTTCCTTGAAATTTTCAGACTTTCTAGATCAAAATACAAATGAAATCCTGTGAAAAATTGGAAGAGAAATATTCACAGATTTTCCTGAAAATTTGTGATTTGTCGAAGGGGATTCGACAACGTCCGATGGTTCATAAGGTGTCCATGGCGCTTGGTCTCCATTAGCCCCTTATGGCTCTTGAATAAATAATTTCTTGGAGATTATCAGTCGTACTTAACCTGAATTGTTGATAATAGGACATGTGTCCTGAGCCTGGAATGTTGAATAGTTATCGAATGACGTTGATCAATCAATAACTTTGTCAAGATAGGGATCAGTGACATGGCGTGCTTTGCGATCTACCGATATTTCCCCATTTTAAGCCGTGGTAAATTATCGATTATTAAGGTGTTGGCTGCGAACACCCTGTTTTTGGATACACTTCCATAGGTTTAAATGGCCCATCAACCGACATATCACAAAGCACGCCACGCCACTGATAGGGATTTATCGATCAGGATCACATGATAACAATTTAACAATCGACCTGCTGCGCGCCTGGATTGTCGAAACGCTATCGATTGGCTTTGATCGATGAGGAGCTTTGCTAAGCAGGCCCGCCACATCCCATCTCGGGCCCTGGTACCAGTTTTCAGGCCCGGGCCCCCAGCACAGAGGGGGTCCGGGGGGCCTCCCCCGGGGAAATTTTTGAAATTTTAAATCTATTTGGACGCATTTTGAAGCTCCTATAATGGAGATTTTCCATCAATTTCTGCAGAATAATTACGCCTTTTTGTTTACTTTCAGCACCAAATACTTTCGAATTGTTGCATTCAAAACATCTAGAAATTGTTTTGGGGGGGCAGATGATACTTTTCAATTCTAGGGGGAGCCGGGCCCCCCTGTACTCCCCTTTCGTACGTCTCTGGCAAGGGAGTTGAGCCATTGAAGTCGAGGATGCCTAGACAGGAGCCTCTTAGCATCCAACAACGGAAGAAAATGAAACGCAGCAAAAATATCGTTCTACTTATACTCAAAATCTTGAAAAAAGATAGAAATCTCTGAAAAAAAAAGAACAATTTCACAGTGCCCTAGCGTGTTTTTGAAACTTTATTCACCTCTTGCTGAATTTTTAGGGTAATTTTTTCACTTTTCCTAACGAGACAAGGGTTACACATGAATTCGTAGTGGTTTGTCACCTGCGTCACGGGCCCCTCCAGGGCCCGGGCCCCGATACCAAGGACCCAGTATTCCCCCCTTGTGGCGGGCCTGTTGCTAAGATAGGGAAATATTGATCAA